AAGCCCCCTGAAAACAATTGGGCTCGAGGTTTGCGATTCTCCTCCCGCAAGAGGAGGGGGGGGGGGGGGGGGGGGGGGGCGATGGGGAACCAGCACAACGGTCCCGTAACTGCTTTTGGCGATTCTGCAGGTTGGTTAGGCCCAAGCCTCTCCATCCTTCCAGTAGCCGCAGTACCGAGAAACCACGCCCAACGTTTGGTTGTGAAAAATGCCAACGAATGACGAATGTGGGACCATCGGTTCCCATGGGCGTCGCAGGTGCTGGTCAGCATCTCCCAGGCCCAAAACAAAAATCGCCAACGCAGATAAAAAATAAAATACTTTGGCCGCAATGGCACAGGGTGCCCAGAACGACTTCCAGCCCAACTTGCGAACCTTTTCACGCTCATCCCACATAACTGGACCTTCAATCTTTGTTTCTTGTACGAGTACGATGTGAGCCTCACACTCAAGAATCTGTGACTTTGCAGAGTACCAACTGTTGGCGTTGATCGTGAGGATCTGCAAGCCACCGCGGCCACACCGCGTCTGCTGAGTGTTGCCCGTCAGACGGGTCCCCATCCAGCCACTGCGGCCTCCTCCTCGTTCCTGCGCTTGGCGGCGCTCTCATCAGCCCCCTCGGCTGGGCGCCTGCCCGCCAAGGGTGTCTGCGGCATTGGCGCGTCATCGGCCGCCGCAGCTGACTCCTCGCCGTGCCCCCTGGCTGCTGCCGCCGCCTCCTCTCGGCCTGCCGCCGCAGCTGCAGCCTCTTCTGCTTCGGCCCGTTGCGGCGCCTCTCCAGCACCGCTCGCGGCCGCCCCTCTAGACTCCATGCCGCGCAGGTGCTGTGCGAACTCTTCCATGGGCGCCTTCAACTGCTGCGTCAGCTCGTCCGAGAGGGTACTGTGCAGGATACTCATACTCTGTAGAAAAGCTGATGCTGAGTCTATAGGTCCACTCTGTGCCATAGCCGTGATCGCAGCTCCTTTGCCAGCTGGTGAATCAGTCCAGGGGGAAGCTGCGACATGTGAGGATCGTTGAGAGCCGAATGCTGCTCTCGCAGAAGATTGTAGACCTTCAACTCCATATCCGTCTTCGTAATGTTCGCCGCCTCGACGTCGGCTATCAGCAGCGCGCGCTTCACCTCTAAGTCATCGAGGCTCTGCTGCTGCTTCTCGATGTAGGCGATATGCTGCTCTAACTGCTGCTGGGCGGCTTGGTATAACTTCGTGTAGATGGCCTGCGTCAGCTGGCTCTCGGTTCTTTCAGAATCGCGATCAAGGCGATGCTGTGCAAGAACTCCCTCGAGAGCCGTCATAGCTTGTTCAGTGCAGGCCTCGAAGCGACCCTCGGCCTTCGACTCCATCCCTCGCGAAAGGTCCAGGGACTGCTGGAGCTTGAGGATCCTCGGGCCTATCTGCTTCTCCTCGGTGCTCTTCTTGGGCTTCGGGCCTGAAGCCGTCGCTGCTGGACGTCCAGGATCCGCCGTATGTGAAGCCTCCCAGTGCATGCCGCACTGCCAGAACCACTGATGACGAAGGCTGACGCTGGACTCGCAATATCCACAAGTCCACGATAAACTCTGAGCTGCTTCTTGAGGCGGCGGTGGCGGTGTCTTGACCTTGGCATCGGACTTGCCTTTGCCCTTGCCCTGCCCCCCACCAGGGGCCTGGCCGCCCTTCCACCCGCCTTTGCCACGGCCTCCCATCGTGTAAGATAAAAAGGGGAGGTACGTGTGATCCCTCTGCGGCCCTGCTGTGGCCCAGATCGGTGGTGCAGAGGGATGCAGGAAGGCGCTGTGCCACTCGAGCCCTCACCCCTCTCGAGCGAGAGGGAAATGGCTTGAGCCAAAATGGCTACGGACCCCTCCTCCTCCTGCTCTTCCTCCTCCTCCTCCTCCTCCTCCTCCTCCTCCTCCTCCTCCTCCCCAGGTTCTCTGAACATCCTGCGTTCTGAGCCCACTCTTGCAGGAGAGCTCGATGCCTCCAGCAATGGAGGCGGACGGAGACGGAGCCGGACGGGTATGGGAAAGGCCCATCCAGCTCTTTGGAAGCACAGCAGCAAGAGAAAAAAAGGGACCCTGACATCTGAGAGAGCGCGTTTCACGGGCGCTTGCCTTGGGAACATTCGGCGGCGCGTTTCGAACCCAGGGGTGGGCCTCTTTCCCCAACACTCGGCGCCGTCGATCAGAACCAGTGGGACTCCCTCCACCCTAACACCCCCGCTCCCGACCCCCGCCAACCCCCCCTCCCAAGGGGGGCGAGGGGGTTCCAACCCCCCCCCCCTCCCCTGGCGCCGGCGCCAGCGCTGGCGGCCGCCGTGGCGCCAATGCAGCGACGATGACCAGAGAGAGCCCAGGAGTAGAGGGGGAGGTTCAAACCCCTCTCCCCCCTGCGTGCCGGCGCTGGCGCCGACGGCGGGGACGCAGCGACGATGATCAGAGAGGGCCCAGAGGCCGCAGAGGGAACACACAAATCGCCGTATCGAGCCCCCGCATGCTCCTCAGACGCCACCGAGACCCGTCTGACGAGACCTCAAGAGGCATCCATTAGAACTCTGACCTTTTGCCAAACACACAGTGGCGGGAAGAGCCGAAGGCCACACCACCATCACCAGCACCGCCACCACAGACCACCATACCACCACCACCACCGCCACCACCACAACCACCACTACAACCACCACAACCCACAACACAACCCCCAACACAACCACCACCATCACCACAAACCAACTCACGACCACCACCACCAAAAATGCCGCCACCACCACCAGCACCACCACAACCCACCACAACCCACCACAACCCACCACAACCACCATCACCACAAACCTCCACACAATTACCACCACCATCACCACCACCGTCACAACCACCACCATCACCACAACCCACCACCAACACCACCACCACAAACCACCATACCGACACTACAACCACCACCACCCACCACCCACCACCCACCACCCACCACTACCACCACCACCACTACCAGCAGCACGACCGCCACCACCATCACCACAGTCCACCATCACCACCACCACCATCACCACAAACCACCACGCCACCACCACCACCACCGCCACCCCCATGACCAACACCATCACCACCTCAACCCACCACCACTTGAGAATCAGCTGACGTAGCTGATTTTCCCGGCGCCTCCCGGCGCCGGGAGGCGGCCATGTGTCGAGGAATGGGCCCCTCGGTGGGGCCGAAACCAGGTGCATGCAGCAGATTTCGTACACCCCCCTTCCCCCATCCCGCCCTCTCGTCCGGCCCGAGAAGGGCCCCGGGATGGAGCCTGCACGGATTCCGGCAGCGGCGGCAATCAGCAAAGGCCCCCCGAAGGCCGAAGCAAAAGGAAAGACCACGGGATGCGGCCAGCATGCTGCCAGAGAGCACGCCGAAGGACCAGCGAAGGGGGCGCTTCCGTCCACGACGAGCCTCCGCCACGAAGAGATTCCTCCCCTCCTCCTCCTCCTCCTCCTCTTCTTCTTCTTCTCATTATTATTCTTCTTATTATTATTAGTATTCTTATTCTTCTTAGCATCAGTATTATCATTATGTTCTTCTTCTTATGATTAGTATCATTAATATTATTATTAGTCTTATTATTATTATTACTACTCGTCTTCTTCTTCGTAATAGTATTATTATTTTTCTAACTACTATTGTTATTATTACTACTATTATTAGTATCATTATTATTATTATTATTAGTAGTAGTAGTAGTAGTAGTAGTAGTATTCGTATTATTATTATTATTATTATTATTATTATTATTATTATTATTATTATTATTATTATTAGCATTATTATTATTATGTTTCTTCATCATCATACATCCGTATTACGCCTCCAGAATCACAAATACCTAATACCTAATCCACTCAGACTAATAATCAGCAATATACAGCATCCGTATAAGCAACGCACACCCGTAGCCTACGCCTCAAAGCCTCGCCTCCGCCTCAGACTAAGACCTCCGCCGACAGCCGCATAATAATAATCATAAGCATCATAAATGAATGAGAAAGAAGCACTAAATCTACGAATAAGACATAATAATAAATAATAATACTAAGAAGAAAAATACAGAACTAGAATAATAATAATAAAGACGAAGAAGAAATAATAAATAAGACAAAATAAGTAAAAATGAAGACATAACAGAAAGAATAAAGAAGAAGCAATACAAGTACAGGAAGAAATAAGAAAATAATAAAATATGGATTAAGAATTAAAGAAATAAATGCCGAAATATAGAAAGGCATAAATGAAAGAAACGATACAAGCAAAGTAAGAATTCGCATAATACGACTACAACTGACTACGAAAAAAATACATTACATCCTCCTCACGACTACTCAATCAATTACATAATAATCATCCTACCTCCTAATAACTCCTCTAATCATCCTCATCCTACTCTCTCCTCATAACAGGTACTACATCCTCCTAGTCCTCCTCCTCCTTCCTCCTCCTCCTCCTCACCTCCTCATCCTCCCTCCTCCTCCTCCCTCCTAGTACTCGACCTCCTCATCCTCCCCCTCAAGCTCTCCCCTCCTCCTCCTCCCCTCCCGTCGCTTTCCTCTCGTACCTCCTCCTCCCTCCTCTCCTCTTCCGTCTCCTCCTCTCTCCTCCTCTCCTCCTCCTCCTCCTCCTCCTCCTCCTCCTGATCCTCCTCCTCCTCCTCCTTCTCCTCCTCCTCCTCCTCCTCCTGAATCCGAAGAGGTCCTCAATTACTGTCGGGAACTTGTGCATAGCGTGCCTCGCGGCGGTCCCGGCGACACGCTGTGCCGTGCGAGCGAATGGCGTGTCGCTCCGCACCTCGGGGGTGAACCCCAAGTCCTCAGTTCAGCGCCTTCAGGGGACGACGACGACGACGACTACGACGACGACAGGGGAGGAGAAGGGTGAGGAGGAGGAGGGAGGAGGAAGAGGAGGAGGAGGAGGAGGAGGAGACGTGGTGAGGAGGATGAGGAGTGAGGAAGCAGGGGGAGGCAGAGGAGGGAGCCTGGGGGCAACCTGACGCCGGGCAAATTCGCCATGGGGTCCTCCAGGACGCCCGCCTCCCAATCCGCCCCGCGTCCCGCCGGCTTCAGGCGGAAATACACCATGCAGCGGACGGCCTGGCGAGCCGACGTGGGGGGGCGGCAGGATAGGAGGAGACGAGGGCGAGGCTGTTTTTTTCTGTCAGGGGTTTCAACGAGTGCAGTTTCCTCCAGGTGGGGGGTTTGGAAAGCAGCCTGACCTGGCGACGCAGGATGCCAAAAAGAAAAAACTCGTGGGAATGCCAACGCAGACGCAAGAGCATTCACGGAGTGACGGATGAGGCCGCGGAGGAAAGGAGGACGGGGGCGGAAGACAAGAAGAGCACCTTCTTTCCCAAGCGCAATCTTTTGGAGAGGGGGGAAAAGGGAAGGGAAGGGAACCCGTTCAGTCACCGTCCACAGTACGAGGTCCTCAAAGTCTGTTTGCGGGCTGCCGAATGCACACAACCACGCGCTACCCACCAAGCCCAAAACAAAAACCATGGACTTTGGAAGCGAGGCAGAAACAAACATGCGTCCAGCGCCAGCTCTAAAAATAGAAGAGGAATATATGAGCAGGGAGAGGATGATGATGATGATGAGGAGGAGGAGGAGGAGGGGGACGGGGAGGAGGAGGAGGAGGAGGAGAAACAGAGGAGGCGGTGGGCAGCGTGGATGCTAAAATCGGCTGCCGCGCGAATATACTCAGCTGCTGGACCATCATCGGCATATAAGCTAAACAGCACAGAAGAAAAGGAAAAGGAGGAGAAGGAGGACAAGGAGGAACACAGGAGACAATGCAACAATGGAGCACCGTGAATGATTCTGCACATTCCCATCGGAAGGCAGAAGGTGTCAAAACTTAAATCGGCAACCCGATCGAGTTCCGAGCAGAAGTCAAGAGGAGGTGGGGAGCCCCGAGCCGCGAGGAACGAGAATCAGAGCTTGGACGGCGAACGATTGGGACAACACCCTGAAAAGGGGACGGCCCACAAACACGGGCAGGCCGATGCACCTAGGCGACCCCGCTCCGGCAAGCGGCCAGGAACGTGCGAATTATCTGCTCCAGCCGCCAAGCAGCGTCACGCGCCAGAGGGGCACCTGGTCTGAGTGCTGCAGCAAGCCCGATTGCCCAGCATGCGGGCGAAACTCCAAACACCCAAATCCTAAAAAAAGGGGGGGAAGGAGGGGGGAAACCAACGCGAAGCATCACAGGAGCTGCACCTGCCCACCTGCCCCCAGTCGTCCGAAGGCGCCACGGCTTAAACGTGGGGGAATCTCATAGAAACAGGATCCGGCACTTGGAAGGGGACGCTGTCTCAGACGCCGCCCCCGCGGGGGGCCGCCCCCATGGGGGGGGCGCATGGTTGGCGCCGAATGGCTGCCAACCACGCTGTCGCGTGGGGCCAGGCGGCTCACGGCGGTGGTCCCTGACGGTCCAGACCGTCGCGGCCAGTCGGAAACGGACAGACCCTGTTCCCCGCCCACCGCAGAGCTCGACAAAAGGGGTAGAACCGAGGGGAGGGAGGGAGGGGCAGAGGAGACAAGAAGAAAACACTCGCAACCATTCTGGTCGCCAGCGGAGCTGACCACGCCATGCATAACCGCGAACTCTACCGCGCGGGCGCAGGGTCATGGACAAGAGAGAAGGACGGCAGTGGCTAGATGACCCTTAGCTCACGGACGCGCAAGGTGAAGCAACAAAAAAACATGTTACAAAAAGAGATCGAACAACCCAAGCAAGACGAAGCAGACGTGGAGGCCCATGTCGACGCAATAAGACATATCGCAAGCGCGTGGCCCGCAAACGCCTCGCGCAAGAAGCCACGGAAAAGGCATCCTCCGCATCTGCCGGACGAACACATCCGTAGACTGATCCATTGAGCGTGCGGTACAGCGCGCATTGCGCCATGGCTATCAAGGAAGCTTGCTGCGGGGCTTCGCCACATAATCCAAGAAGCGTTGGGAGCGCCGCTGCAGGCGCCGGCCGGGGAAAACGGACCAGACGAGCAACAAGATCGCAATCGGCCCGTCAGCGCGCATACTGTTCGATGGAATATTGACCAGCTCTGCAATTGAGCACGCGCTTGCCTGCAGTCTGGAAGCGACGGCAAGTCGGCCACGCATTGAAGGCCGCGCGGGCCCCCGCAGCCAACGCCCGCGGCGGAAGCGAACTGCACTGGGCAGCGACGCCGTTGATGAAGCACTCCGTCCGGCGGCCAGGCGGCACCTCGATCGACCGCCGTTCCAAGCGTCGGCGGGCGTGCCTACGGAAATCGCCCTGGTGACGGCGCCTGAGAACGTCGTAGGGCCTTGCCCCGCGAATCTACTCGAAGGCCTCTGTGCCTCGAGTTCTCCAACCTGGCCGCGCGCGCCTGCGCGGCGCAGGCGGCGCGTTTGACTTCCATAGCTCGGTGGGACAAACCTCCCTGAGCTCCCTCATCGCTGCCACGGTGGTCCAGCCAATCTGGCCTGGGAAGAGCTTTTTGACTGCCCCCCACTCGGCGCCGTCGAACGCATCGGGCACCAAGGTCAGTTGCGCCACAGACATCAGCACACAAGCGACGTACCTCCAGTGCGCACCCGCGGTGTTCTGCAAGCCCAAGCCCATGGCAGCCCACTGTTTGGCACGGTCGGTGTAGATTGCCAATGGCATGGGCCACGCGACAGCAGTGCTGTCAAGGCCCGGAATTACTCCCAAGTTGGTGGCATTCCCCGCTATGCAAAGCAGACTCCGCAGCGGCGTAGCAGCGCGCAGCCCCGACCGCAGGGACACGGCGTCGAGCTGGAACAGCGGGACGAATACCGTCCTCTTAATGTGAAGACGGAGACGGGACGGACGTTCACACTCCGCCAAGATACTCTGCTGGAGCCCGAGCTGGCTCATGATGTCAATTTGAACTATCGCGAGGTCATCGGAGGAAGCCCTGCAAGTGGCCTCTGGGACAAAGCGGGCCGGGCGTCGCAGCAAGAGATCGAAGGAGACCGCGAGGAGGAGCGGCGAGCGGGGGCACCCCTGGCGGGCGCCCCACGTCGTTTGGGACCCCAGGATTCACAGCTCGCCAACCACCACGTGGCACCTGTTGTTGCGGTGGTGGTGGTGGCATCGTAGAACAGTCAGCAACCAGCGCGGCCACCCCAGGGCATTGAAGGTCACGTGCGTCATTTCCTGCTCAACCGACGGGATCGCGGCCGCGAAATCGAAGAAGATGGCGCCGCCACCTTCCGAGCTGATGGCCTGCTTCAACATGCTCTCGACGATGTCGGTAACTATAGCAACCATGGACATGAAGCCTCTCTGCTCTACTGTGACCTCTGGACCCACGAGGGGCTCGAGTAGGGACCTGACGGCATTGGCGAGGATGCGATCGTCCGCGTTCTTGGCGCTCAGAGGTCGCACGTTGCCTGGCTCGCAAATGCCACCGCCCATCTCCGTGGAGATGGATGTTTGTTGCTTCTGGGGGGATAGAAGACAATGAGACTACCGTCGAAGTCCTCCCAATGCTTTTCAAGAGCATCGTCAGAAAACATCATCCTGACAACCTCGAACAAGACGTTCACCGCCGTGCACTTCCGTTAAGCCAAGAATTGAATGCCGTCGGGGCCTGGTGAAGAATTGCCCGTGTTGTCGACCGCCCGCTTGATGTGGCTCTTCCAGAGCCTCGGGAAATGCGCGCTGGAGTCGGCGCGATCGCCCCAGCGACGGTGAGCGGCATCCTCGGCCACCCACTGCTGCAGCAGCTCCTCATCTACGCCGTCTGCCGTGCAGACCCTGGCCAATGCTCCTGAGCGCGTCAGCCATGCCTCTGGCATCGGTCCGGACAATGCCCGTGCTGTCCTGGACAACACCGAACGTACTCGAACGGCCGTGGGCCAGAGTGAATATGAGTCCGTCGTTCCGCTGCCGAGCCCGATGCGCTGCAAACATGTTGCCGCCAGTCAAATCCTCGTCGGACTTGCGCAGCTCGTCCAAGGCGTGGTCCCCGGCGAGTTGGACGGCGTGGTCTCAGAGCTTCTTGAGCTTCTCAGAGAAGTTGCCACTAATGTCGTATGGGTTGACGACAAAGTCGCTGTCTTTCGGGTATTTCTCCACGCATGCGGAAACGTCTGAAAGGGACCCGGTCTCCATGGCGCGAATCAGTTTCATCATCATGCCTAGTCCTCATGGAAAATATTGCGCGGCGGCACCACTGCGGCTCGCTCACAAGTTCCTGCGCACTTCCTTCATCGCATCCGTCACGAGGTTCACCTTGGCAAGGGGTTCGCCTCAGGGTGCCCGTGCACCTTGTCCAAACAAGTGAGAACCGCTCGTCGCTCAAATCTTGGTGCGGATGGCCTCGACAGTGAATGGCCTGTCCTCGCGCCTGGCGTGGTCAGGCGGCCTCCTGGAGAATGTGGCAGCCCGGTGCGCAGAGAGGCCGGGGCGCCATTCCCGAGCTGCGCACCGCAGGTCGCGGTCAAGCTGATCAGCAACATGAGAATCCCACCAGCCCTTTGGGCGTGAGTGGTTTAGCGAGCTCTCTCTGTTCTCAACCCCCCAACCCCCCTTCTTCCCCTTCGGGGAGGGGTTTACCCCTCCCCCTCCCCCCTCCCCCTGGGCCTGGAGAGGGAGTTCCGCGGGTGGCCAGGGGGGTCTTTTTCGACTCCTGGGAGGGCCAAAAAACGACGACCCTCACGAGGATTCTGGCCCCGACGGGGGGACGCCAAAAAAATCCTCTCCTCTTCTGTGAAGCCAGAATCATTGATTTTACTACGGTTTCGGCCCCATTTTGGCCTTCTGAGGGGGCAGCGCTCCTCTTCCTTGTTCTCAAAATCATTGATTTTACTAAGGTTTTGGGCTCATTTTGTCTTTCTCAGGGGGTAGCGCTCATTTGCGCTTCTGAGGAGGTCGCAAGAGGCCCCCAAGAGGCCCCAAGATGCCCCCAGGAGGCTCCCAAGAGGCCTCCAAGAGGCCCCCAAGAGGCCCCCCAGAGGCCCCCAGAGGCTCCCAACAGGCTCCCAAGAGGCCCCCACGAGGCCCCCAGAGCCCCCAAGAGGCTCCCAAGAGGCCGCCAAGAGCTCCCCAAGAGGCCCCCAAGAGGCCCCAAGAGGCCCCCAAG